ATTCCTCTTTGCTTGCTCTTGGTGATTCTCTTTAGTACCCAGTCTAAGCAGAGGGTGAAGAGGAGTGGGGATAAGATACAGCCTTGTTTCACTCCTGTTCTGATGTTGAAGTCCTCAGTTCGGTCGAACCACGTATGACTCTGGCGCTGAAGTTGTTGTACAGCATCTTCATCATAGACATTAGTTTGTCTGGGATCCCGTAGTGGGCGAGGATCTTCCAGAGAGTGGCTCTGTCAATACTGTCGAAGGCCTTGGGAAAGTCTATGAAGTTGGCATAGATGGTTGCGTTCCATTCGTTACTTTGTTCTATGATCTGTCTGAGGGTAAATATTTGGTCCATGCATGATCTTCCTTTCCTGAAGCCAGCTTGTTCTTCTCGCATGAGTGTGTCCATGGTTCTCGAAAGTCTGTTGAGGATTACTCGGCTCAGTACTTTGACGTTTGATATTATGTCTATTAGTAGCGTTGGTGTTACTGAGTCCTCTGCTTGAGCATATCTGCATATATCTGGTCCATTCCTGGTGCTTTCCCGTTCTTAAGTGCCCTTATTGCTCTTTACACCTCTTCCATGTTCGGTGGTTCTGTGCTGATGTCCAGGCTGTCGGCTGCAGGTTCAATGTTTGCTTCTGTATCTGGGTCTTCCCAGTTCAGCACTTTCTCGGAGTGTTCTTTCCAGCGCAACAAGACTTCTTCCTCTTCCCTGTTGGTCTCTGACCGGTCCGGCTGCAGTTTGGCATTTCCCTGAGAGTGTCTTGGTCAGTCTGTAGAGGGTTTTCATGTCTTGTTTGGATGCTGCTTGCTCGGCTTCCTCTGCTATTCTTTCGATGTATTTCCTCTTGTCTGATCTTGCTCCCTTATTCACTTCTTTGTCCAAAGCTTTATAGTTTGTCTGCAGTTGTTCTTTCAATCTCTGCGACCTGGTACCTAGAATTTTACTCTTTTCCCTTTCCGCATTTCTATTTTCCTTCAGGTGTCATCCGATATCCATTCTTCTCTTTTCTTCTTTTTGTGTCCAAACAGCCGTTTTCCTTTTTCCAGTAGCACCTCATTGACCTGCTGAAGGCCAGTGTATTGCTTTTCTTTAAGCACACTGAATCTGTTCCTCACCTCAATCTGGAAGGTTTTCTTGATCTTTGAGCTTGGAAATGTTGACAGGTGGCGGTCTCTGTCATTGTCTCCTCACTCCTCAAGTTTCAGTTTCACTTTAGCCAGTACCATGTATGTACATGTAATGGTATATTATTAATAAGTTGTTAGGATACAAAGTGCACATGACAGAGAACGGTTCTACAACTGATAATCATTTTGGTCCATATACGAAAAGTATTTGCACCATGTAAGGTGCATGCAGATTATGAACTTCTGTTTACAGTTGTGACGCCAACAGCGTGTCCAGTGAAAACAGAAGAACAGACACATGTCCTGGTTTCACCATACATGACCAGTGGTTCGATAGCTCTATTTCGGGTGCTCCACCTTGAGGACAACTCCATTTCAACATATCGTCATATACGCCCAAAACATGTCACTGCCATGGCATACGTACCAACACTCCGACAAGTGCTGATGCCAACTTTAGACCCCAAGACTATCCAAGCCTTCTCATTACATACTACTGTCATTGTTACCGTAGGGAGGGAAATGTTCATCTGGTCAATCGCTGTGGATGATACCAAACAGCTTGTTTTCCTGGCAACAAGGAAGCCATATGGCGGTGTAGCTAGTATGGCACCTGATGGAAGAAATGTCAGGAAAATCACCAGTCGGATTCAACCCAAGGTACTTTGCCTTGATACAGGGCGAAATATTGTGTATGCAGCGGACTCTGAATCTATATTTTCATCCTCATACTCTGGACAGAGATGGCAGAGAATAATAAGATCAGATAACACGTTAGGTCTCACATTAGGCGATCAGGGAAATGTGATGTATTATAATGAAAAGAAAAATATTGTGAGATTGGAGTTGTTCAAAAAAGGAAACGAGAGAAAAGTTATTGGATTAAATATGTACAGTAGAAACCTACTTTACAGACAGGGTTATCTTTATGTAAGTCATCTGCACGAGTGGCACATGTACGTATTGCATGAGTCTAATTATTCAAGTGTAAGGCAAGTTAATATTAAGTCCTATTACAGACTATTCATAGCTATGATGCCATAAAATGCTTGAAGTGTGGTTTGCTTTTCCAAACTTCATTATTAGTTTAGCATGAAGCAAGTATAACAGATGCCTTCCGTGAAACAAGGCGTCCTTCTGAAATGTGTTTACTGGATCTGTAGCCTTAGGAGGCACCCACTCACTTGCCTGATTGAACGTGTGTTGTTTTTGTCGTCTATTAAAGCTGTTCTATTCCTCATTATATCTGGCGATCCTATTTTCAATACCTGTTAATCAATCCTCAGTGTAGTTATTTTAAGTATTTTTAAGTTATTTTAAGGGGATCAGGGCGAAGGGGTTCGAGTCCGTTGGGGCCATGTCCAAATGTTGTTGTTCAGAGATGCTTCTCTCAAGGTGCGGAAGTCGGTGATACGAATCCTCCATCTCAGGTAAACATATTTGTAAATATTCGGGTCCAAAGGTAAATATGTTCCTGTGAGTCGGGTGGTTAACTAGGGTCCATGTAGGTAGCAAAGGTACTGTAAGTCCCCATGGTTTCTAGTATGGTGATCTACCTTCAGTTGTTGGCGATCTGTGGCCTGGTTTATTTTATATTGTATCGTCCTCTATAGTTAAAGTATTTTAGATTTAATTACTAGTTTTAAATATATTTCTGTGATAGTCTAGTTGGTTTTACTGTCCTTCGTAAACCTTGTTTTCATCGCTATATGGCTGTAATATTGATGATGCGATGTTAACTTTTAACTCACTCACTCACTTTCCTGTTCCAAAGGAAATGTCCGCTATAGACAGACCTAATTTCAATTCCGACTGGGTGGATTCTTAATCCTGTAAATGACGATTTAAATTTCTAAGATAATGCATTTTTCAAATTAGAGTTGTCAGAATTCTCTGAAATCTAGTATGTGGAAGGACATCTCCATTCAGAAAGGAAGGACCCCTGGGCTGTATTAAAGACAAGACAATCCAGTGATCGACAGCATGAGCATCAATCTATGCAATTGATTACTGTATGGCATGGAACACTGAAGCCATGTACCTGGAATATTGCTGAGTGCAGCATTAAACAAAAAAACAAACAAACTTAAATCTGATTCAACACAGCACAAACTCATTAAAATAATTTATTTCCTTTCACATGACATGAATGCCAGTTATACACATAAGCAGTGACACATGTTGCAAGTCAGAACTGTAGCTATCATCAAAACCCTCCGCATCATGCAGCTTTATGCATGATGTAGGTACATTGGTAAATGTTCCTCGTCTTAGTAAGCCGAGACTTTGAAATTCCTGGCTCCAATTTTCATGTTGGTAATATGAAAAATATAAAAACAAAAAAGTCCCATTTCAATTATCTTTATCTTTATCAAAGCTAATTATCAGAATTTCAATAATATATTCTTATTGAAAGCAACAGTAATTTGGTATTTCAACATTTTGTTGCTTCTGGATCTCAGAACATGAGAATCAGTACTTTTCATATAATTCTTTTCACACAGGTGCAGGCGCATTCGAAGAAGGTTTTAAGTAAGACAGGTTTTAACAGTGTTTGACCTTTACATTTATGTACAATGTCACGGCAAGCGTTTATATACAACAGTAAATACAAGTCCAAGATATCAAACAAACATTGCTTAGGTAAGAAAGATTAGGGAGGATGGGGGTCTGTCAAGAGATAGCGACACAGTGATAGGTAGGCCTAGGGGTGGCTCTTGTCTGACTCAGTCTATCAAATATCCCACAGGGTTCTTTCTCAAGGAACTGGGTCCTGATCTGAAAAGGGGTTGTAGCTCTACGTCATTCGTCATTCGCAAGCCTATGGTAGACTCCAGACTTACGACTGACTGACTGACAGAGTTTGGTTTTACACCGCTTTTAACAATATTCCAGCAACATCATGGCGGGGGGACACGAGAAATGGGCTTCACACATTGTACCCATGTGGGGATTCGAACCCGGGTCTTTGGCGTGATGAGCCAACGCTTTAACCACTAGGCTACCCCACCGCCCCTCCAGACTTACGACGTAACGTTACAATTGCTTTGTGGACCCAGAGACTTACTTGCACCTGGTGCAGATTTTAGAAATAACCTTACACATGCTGACCAATGTAAAATTATACATAATGCTTCAGTTTTGAGAGACAAAACATGTCTAGATTGTTTTATCTTACTTCATAAATTACCATGACATGAACATGAAATCGGAGTCACTGTTGCAAACCAGTTCCTCATACAGTGTAACAACACATTCCCGAGAATCAACAGCAACACTATCTTCCTATATGTGGCCCACACATTGTCTTAAAACACGCCCGTGAAGGTCCGGGTTAGAATTGATCTTCAGTAACCCATGCTTGTCGTAAGAGGCGACTAACGGGATTGGGTGGTCAGGCTCGCTGACTTGGTTGACACATGTCATCGTATCCCAATTGTGCAGATCGATGCTCATGCTGTTGATCACTGGATTGTCTGGTCCAGACTCGATTATTTACAGACCACCGCCATATAGCTGGAATATTGCTGAGTGCAGCTTAAACTAAACTTACTCACTCACCATTTTCATGGAACTGACAAACAGGAATAGGCTGAAATAAAACAAGGATCATGTATCAGCAGATCCTTGCACATTAGGGGGAGGCAACTTTGCTAAGTGAACTCAACTGCAGATCTTTAGACAACTGGGCAAAATGTTGACAAGCTAACTTAAGAGCATATAATTAATTTCAATAGCGTTTGCTTTATGTTAGAAATTCAAGACTAGATTAAACTCCATTAAAAGGGCCTAGTATAAGCTAGTCCAGCTTTAATCAGAGTATGCTTCAAAACAATGTACATAATACAATTTTAAACCGATTTCTCAGCACTTCATCATTCAACATGTCTGCTCTTAGGTTGGCATTGTGTAGTGGACGTCAAAAATGGGCTTCACACTTTCCACCCATGTGGAGAATCCAACCCGGGTCTTTGGCGTGATGAGCAAAGCCACAGCAATGTGTAAACACATATTTTACTTCTAGCAACCATTGATCATGCTGAAGAATGGTTTGCTGTGTACGTCAGAAGGACCAGTCTTTGAGTGAGTGAGGGTCTTTTGCAGCTTTACCAATATTCTATCACCATTATGGCGGGGACACCAGAAATGGACTACACACATTGTGGCCCATGTAGGGAATAGAACCTGGGTCTTCGACATGAGTAAACACTTTAACCATAAGGCTACCCCTCGCACTGACCAATCTTTGAAGTCATATTGTCCTTGTCATATCACATTCTTGCTAAGTTTCCAGCTGTTTCCTTGTATACTCTACAGTGTCAGTCCACAACCTTGACTGACTGAATATGTGGTGAGAGCACGACCGGTGACCCTTGACCTGCTAACCGCTTGTAGATCTGACCTCCTTGCTGTGATGGAAACTTGCTGGCTGCTGCCTTTCCTATTGTTTGCTGAAAGAACAAATTTCTCTAATATCAAAATCAGAAATGTCCCCAGCAATCTATGCCGGTCATAAGTGGGTACCAAGTAGGCGAGTGGTCAGGCTTGGTCACTTATTGATTGTGTGTCCTCTCACGCCATTGGTGTGGATCATTGGATCATTAATCACTGGATTGTGTGGTTCAGGATACTTTTGGGCAGATGTCATATTCCTGTAATGTTACTAAAAGGAAGAGGTGAGGTGAAATTGGGTTTAACGCCGTGCTTGAGAAAATTTCACTGATATGACGACATGCATGCGTATGTATGTGTATGTGCGGCTGCTTGTACTAGCCCAGACTGAAGCTGGTTTTATAGTGCTAGCCCCCTGAGATACCATGCCGCAGTGAAGCATGAATACCCCACTCAGACACAGTATACTGACTCCGAATCGACCAGTCCTTGTTGTACACATTAATGCCGAGCGCCAGGCAAGGACCAACAAGTACCATATTTTAACGTCTCTTGGTATGACGCGGTCGGGGATCGAAGCCGCGACCTTCCGCTCTCCGGGCGGATGCTCTAACCACTACACCACGGAGGCGGTCCACCAAGAGGAAGAACTGAATGTGGTTGAAGTCTAAGGCGTACAATCTGATTTGTATTTCAGCAAACGGTTACAGTTTATTACATCACCATGCAGACTGTCTCCAAGAATCAATAAACCCATGAAGATACGGGTTAAAACTGTTTTCAGTAACCCATGCTTGTCATGAGCGTTAACTAACAGGATTGACTGGTCAGGCTCACTGACTTGGTTGACACATGTCATCGTATCCCAATTGCATAGGTCAATGCTCATCATGTTGATCACTGGATTGTCTGGTATAGACTGGATTATTTACAGACCACCGCCATATAGCTGGAATATTGCTAAGTGCAGCGCTAGACAAACAAACCAAGAATCAGTCTGTGACTATTTTCTTCACATTAGCAGGCTAAATGTAAAGAAACAGGTCCCAAGTTTCAATTTTAAATTGTTCCACATTACTGGTTTTTGGGGGGATGCTGATTAAATTTTAATCTGGTACCTTGGTGACAGGCTGATGCCTCTCCACAATGACAGATGCCATGGGTGGGGCGAGAGTGGAACTTGCCGTCCCCGGACCACGAGAGGACTTCCCCGAGTCGACTTTGGCAGTGACCTTAGCAGTGATGACCTTGCCACGATGTGAAGACGATGTGGCACTGGTGGGACGAGATGACACCTACAACAAACAATAGAAATAGTTGTTAGTTTAATTTTCAGGAAGATTCTGTACACAGAGCATGGAGAGTGGACAATGTTCGATGTCTGAGTGCCGTTGTACAAAACAACCTTAGCGCTAAGACTGGCGTAAGCCTATGTTAAGGTATGGGAGTTACAATCACCTTAGCGCTAAGACTGGCATAAGCCTTTGTTTAGGAATGGGAGTTACGATCACCTTAGCGCTAAGACTGGCATAAGCCTTTGTTAAGGTATGGGAGTTATGATCACCTTAGCGCTAAGACTGACGTAAGCCTATGTTAAGGTATGGGAGTTATGATCACCTTAGCGCTAAGACTGACGTAAGCCTATGTTAAAGTATGGGAGTTACGATCACCTTAGCGCTAAGACTGACGTAAGCCTATGTAAAAGTATGGGAGTTCTGATCACCTTAGCACTAAGACTGACGTAAGCCTATGTTAAAGTATGGGAGTTACGATCACCTTAGTGCTAAGACTGATGTTAGCCTATGTTAAAGTATGGGAGTTACGACCACCTTAGCGCTAAGACTGACGTAAGCCTATGTTAAAGTATGGGAGATACGATCACCTTAGCACTTAGACTGACGTAAGCCTATGTTAAAGTATGGGAGTTACGATCACCTTAGCTCTAAGATTGGCATAAGCCTTTGTTTAGGAATAGGAGTTATGGTATCCTTAGCGCGAAGACTGGCATAAGCCTTTGTTAAGGCGTGGGAGTTATGGTGACCTTACCATGAAGATGGAGAACATGTTGATGTGTGCCGTTCAAGATTTCATCTTCAATGATCTAAACATTGAGTCACTGACAAAAAGATGATTCCTAATTTCAGATCTTTTCATCTTTGATTTACAATATTATAACATGACAGAGACCCACTCACACTTGATCTAGTCTGTGACACAGTGGAGGTACGTGACCCCTGGCTGCTGACTATACGAGGTGGGACAGGGTCGGAAGGTTGGGTCATGTACACAGCCTCCTGTGGTATTGTCTTGGAGTGACCGTAATCTTTGTCAAGGGCATAACTGTCCAGATTGTCTGCAATATCATCAGGGGAGACGCGCTTCCCAGAAGACACTGAAAACAGAGAATTGAGAGAATTCATTGAGTGAGTCAGTTGAGTTTAGTGGTGTGTGTGGTGTGTGACGTTGAGTGTGAGTGTGTTGTTTGATGTTTGCATGTTGTGATGTGTGTGAGTGGTGTGTTGTTTGTGTGTTCTATGTGTACACTCACATCGTGTGTGCAGTGTGTTTGTGTCTGTTGTGCGATGTGTGTGTTATGTGCGTCTTGTCCGTATTATTTTGTCTTGTATATGCATGTGTGTGCATGTGCATGCATTCATGAGACAGAGATGTACCTTGCTGTGTATGGTATGTTTTTTGTATGTTGTATGTGTGTGCATGCACACTGGCATGTAATGTGTGTGTCGTGTGCTGCCATTTGTCTTTGTGTGCCTGCATGTGTGTTGGGCCTGGTGTGTATGTGCATGCATTGTGTGCCTGCATGTGTGGCATGGCATGGCATCGTGTGGCGTGGTGTGTATGTGCATGCGTCGTGTGCCTACATGTGTGGCATGGCGTGGCGTGGCATGGCGTGGTGTGTATGTGCATGTGTTGTGTGCCTGTATGTGTGGCGTGGCGTGGCGTGGCGTGTATGTGCATGCATGGAGTGCCTGCATGTGTGGCATGGCGTGGTGTGTATGTGCATGTGTTGTGTGCCTGCATGTGTGGCGTGGCGTGGTGTGTATGCATCATGTGCCTGCATGTGTGGCGTGGTGTGTATGTGCATGTGTTGTGTGCCTGCATGTGTGGCGTGGCGTGGTGTGTATGCATCATGTGCCTGCATGTGTGGCGTGGCGTGTATGTGCATGCATCGTGTGCTTGCATGTGTGGCGTGGCGTGGCGTGTATGTGCATGTGTTGTGTGCCTGCATGTGTGGCATGGCGTGGCGTGTATGTGCATGCGTCATGTGCCTGCATGTGTGGCGTGGCATGTATGTGTTGTGTGCCTGCATGTGTGGCGTGGCGTCGTGTGCCTGCATGTGAGGAGTGGCGTGGCGTGTATGTGCATGTAGTGTGTGCCTGCATGTGTGGCGTGGCATGGTGTGTATGTGCATGTGTTGTGTGCCTGCATGTGTGGGGTGGCGTGGCGTTGTGTGCCTGCATGTGTGGCGTGGCCCGGTGTGTATGTGCATGTGTTGTGTGCCTGCATGTGTGGCGTGGTGGCGTGTATGTGCATGCGTTGTGTGCCTGCATGTGTGGCGTGGTGTTGCATCGCGTGTATGTGCATGCGTTGTGTGCCTGCATGTGTGGCGTGGCGTGGCGTGTATGTGCATGCGTTGTGTGCCTGTGTGGCGTGGCGTGGCATGTATGTGCATGCGTTGTGTGCCTGCATGTGTGGTGTGGCGTGTATGTGCATGCGTTGTGTGCCTGAGGTGTACCTTGTCCCTCCTCGCCCTCTTCCTCCCCGTGAAACATGGTCATGGCCTCCAGGTTGAGGGCACAGACTCCTCTCATGAAGGCCTTCTTCATGGCCTCCTCATACTTCTCCCGCTCCACGTTCATCCGCCCGATCTTCACATGCGCAGACTCCAGCTCCTCGTTCAGCTGCAAGACATCATCTCTCCTGATTACTCAATAGAGTCAATACTGTGTCCAGACATATCCAAATCATAAATTGTGACGATTCGCAATAATAATTTCACTTTATTTGATATACCTTTTTGTTTAAAGTGAAATTCATTGGTACGTTTTCACTGCAAACTATAATGGACGGTGACAAGCACTGGTGTTCAACATAGTCAAGATATGCAGTATGGGTTATAAGGCTGGAAGTGAAACCTAGGAGTATATTGAAATACAAGTGACCACTGTTTATTGCTGTGCTCCAGATTGAACATGACTAGGGCTGCAACGATTCGGTTCGATTCATCGAAAACCGAATCTGACACCTTAGCTTCAATTTTAGATAACCATTATCACTATTTCGATTTGATACTTGAATACCATTTTAAATTATTTCCACACAGCCAGGACATAATTTTGACTCCAGCTCGAGCAGTTTCGAGTGTTGAAATAAGACGAAACGTGATTGGTTGACGCCGGGCAAATTATAAAATGGCAATTGTTGTTAGTAGACATTGCCAAGTTGACAATGGATTTCACGATACAAAAGCTGACTCTGAGAGTTAAATGAAATCTGATGGTTTTACTTGTATGAAGAATCAAATCAAAAATGATCGAATCAAGGGTCCAATATGCAAAATCAAATCGAAGTCTGGGTGAACTGTTGCAGCCATAAACATGACATCCTTGATCACCAACCTGTCTGATTTTGGCTTCGTATTCATTAGTGAGCTGCAAGCACACGTCCTGTGCCTTGGACTGACACGCCTTCTCCACCCGCTGCCGCCACTTGTTCTCGATGACGGAGTGCCAGGCGACCCACACTCTAGAGGACAAGCTTCTCTCGTAGTGCTTCCTGGCCAGATTGCTGGCAAACGCCTGAAACAGGAGGGAGTCAGTTGGGATTAAACCTCACATCTCTTACCTTGTTTGTTTGTTTGTTCGTTGTTTAACGCCACACTCAGCAATATTCCAGCTATATGGCGGCGGTCTGTATATAATGAATCTGGTCCAGACAATCCAGTGACTGACATTATAGCTAAAATACATGGAATTATCATGAAACGGCCCTCCCATTATCAGAAATTTGCAGGCCGCTGCAAATGATATTGGACCGCTCAACCTTAATGACGGGCCACTATCAGTTCTGTTGTCAAGTGACGTCATAGTGGGTGCGTGGGCTTACGGTTCATTCGACATTGGCTTTGGACTGGCAGATATTCTGGGTCAAACAAGTCAAAGCAACCCGAAATTCCCGCTTTAAATAGCGATAATATTGGCTTTCTTGCTGGTGCTAACCTTAACAATTGCACTATTATCGTTGTTGTTGGACCAAAACCGAACACTGACATAGTTTGACATGTTGCAGGCTATGGTCTTGTGAAAGGCCAAGGTCGAATATCGTCACTTTCTGTTGTGACGTCACTTGAATTGTTCGATTGACGTAATTGCATTCGGTCAGTCAACCCCGTCAGAAGTTGGTTTTGAGTAAACTTACAGTCAAATTCCTTCATTGTTTCCTTTTTCTTTTCAACACAAATTCCATGTATTTTAGCAATAATAACGGTAATGCTATTTTTGAGGGCATTATCATTTGCAAAAGCCCTCGGTCTCCTTCGTCGGGCAGTTAATGGAAGACCAGTTAATGGAAGTTTGATCATGATTCTTTACTCAGAGTATAACTGATTTAACAACACAACGGGGCCGGGTTGCTCACCTCCCGTTTCAGGTCATTGTGTCTGAGTTTCCACTCGGTGAACTTCTTCAGCATGTCAAACTTCTCCCTCTGTTTATGCAGGGCGTGGGTGAGGTTGGAGATAACCTGGTCTTTCCGCTCGATGGATTGTTCGTATGTGTGGAGCAGCTCCTTCAACTTGTCAATCTCATTCACCATCTGGTTCTTGTCCGACACAAACCTTAACAAGAAGACAAAGTCATCAATATCCCCCGCAATGGCAAAATACTCTTCATGATTATGTCTACGAGTTATGATTATGTCAAATATTTAGGTGTGCATATAGAAAAGTGGAAGGAGAGTATTGAAAGGTTTTTAAAGTTATGCTCCAGAAAGGAGCACTATCACCAATTTCATTCTAAGTCGAACTTGTTGCCATGGAAACGCCAAAAATATTTTATTCAGAATTCCAAAACTACCAAAAAGGAACCAGTACACCACCAGATCTATCTATGTGCCAAGTTTGGTGAAGAAATAGTGGATGGTTTTAGAGTTCTGCTCCGGAAAAGACAAATGTGCACGGACGTACGAACGGATGCACGCACGGACGGAGTCCATTTTAATACCCCCCACAAAACGCGTTGCGGGGGATAAAAAGAGGACAACACAAGACAGGGCTGGCTATAAATATAGATCATAGAGACGAGGGTTGGTTGGGTTGGGTAGGGTTGTTGTTTAATGTTGCACGGTCTGGACCAGACAATCCAGTGATCAACATTGTGAGCCTCAATCTACACACATGAGATACGATGACATGTGTCAACCAAGTCAACAAACCTCTTAAGACAAGCATGGGTTGCTGAAGACCAATTCTAACCTGGGTCTTCACGGGTCCTTTGGGGAGAGTGAGTATTGTTTTATGGCACTTGTAGCAATATTCCAACATTCCATGGCAAAGGGGCACCAGAAATGGGCTTCACAAATTGTACCCATATGGGGAATCAAACCCAGGTCGAATGCTTAAACCACTAGGCTACCCTACCATCCCCGGGTCTGTTGGCCAGAGGTGTATGCATTGTTAGCTAAAGCTTCTGAATTCTTTGTGTTGATGTAAATGAAAAGATCAAATTTCCCAGATTCAACATTTGCATGCTTTGGACTTCTCATTGGACCTGACCGCCTCCGTGGTGTAGTGGTTAGAGTGTCCGCCCGGAGAGCGGAAGGTCGCGGGTTCGATCCCCGACCGCGTCATACCAAAATACGTGAAAATATGGTACTTGTTGGTCCCTGCCTGGTGCTCAGTATTAATGGGTACAACAAGGACTGGTCGGCTCGGGAGTCAGTATAATGTGTCTGAGTGGGGTATTCATGCTTCACTGCGGCATGGTGTCTCAGTGGGCTAGCACTATAAAACCAGCTTCAGTCTGGGCTAGTACAAGCAGCTGCACCTACACATACACACGCATGCACGTCGTCATGTGAGCGAAATATTCTCAAGCACGACGTTAAACCAAGTTTCACCTCACCTCTCATTGGACCTGGGTACCATTTTGGTAAACCCAAGGTCAAGGTTATGGTGCAAACAAACCAAGAAAAATAATCAGGTCAAACCTGGGACTTGAACCCATGATTACAGGTTTCTGCCATACCATTGGTCGGTTTGTGGTTTAACGCCACACTCAGCAATATTCTGCTATACAGCGGCAATCTGTAAGTAATCGAGTCTGGACCAGACAATCCAGTGATCAGCATCTTGATCATCTATGCACGCAATTGGGATACCAAGACATGTGTCAACCAGGTCAGCGAGTCTGACCACCTGATCCCCTTAGTCGCTTTTCGCTACACTGACTGACTGACTGAGTTTGGTTTTACGCCGCTTTCAGCAATATTCCAGCAACATCACGGCGGGGGACACCAGAAATGGGCTTCACACAATGTACCCATGTGGGGATTCGAACCCGGGTCTTCGGCGTCATGAGCCAACGCTTTAACCACTAGGCTACCCCACCGCCCGCTTCTCGCTACAAGCATGGATTGTTGAAGACCGATTCTCACCCGGATCTTCAGGGGTTTCTACCATACCAACAGGTGCAAATCTGCACAGCAAATCATAGTACTTAGATGACTGCTCCATGTTACAAATAAACAACCTCACACTGATTAGAGAGTACTACATAAACGGGCAGTTCCAAATGCAAACAATAAAGGCTCCACTTTAACACAAATCCTCCCAATACCTTTCTCTCTCCTTCTGCATTTCCAGTCTGCTCTTTTCAACAATCCGGATCTTGGACTGACCAAATTCTGCCTGCAATTAACAAATAACGCAATCAGAAATGTTCTTTCTATGGAAAGACCAAAGTGATGAAGATCTCAGATGTAATCCACTTTGGTCAAGCACAAATATGGAGAACAATAATTTGAGTGAAACAGGATTTGAACGTAATTAGTGCTTCCTGGCATGCCAAAGTGTGGCAACCTTCAGGGTTCATTCAAGCATTCCTTACTTTGAGCCCATGGCCCACCAGCCCTCAGTTACGTGGGTCATTTAGAAATTATTGTGGGTCATGTCAAATTGCTGTGACATTTTAGCCATTCACTACTACTTAAAGGAATGAGTTCACTTCCTTATTTAAACTTTAAATCCAGGTGAGGTCAACAAGAGAAAACAAAGACGTACTTGAGTTTGAATTGCCAAACGAAAACAAACTCATGATGCATTTCAGATTTACATTTATGGATGAGCCGACACGACCCGCCTGTACCTGCAGAGTGTTCCATGTTAAATATTAGTGCGCGATTGGCGCGGCTAGAATGAACATTGAATCTTGCACAGTGAATTGTGCCATCTCAGGTGACTGGGCTACCTGTACATTAGAGAGTGAGAGAGTCAAATTCTAAAGTGACATCAGCATAATTTCAGCACTATAGCGACAACCCCAAGTTCACACACATACACAAGTCCAATATAAACACAAAGTCACCTCAAAAGCAATTTTATACACATTTTAGCATTACAATATCATTTACAATATTAAAAACGGGGTTTAGCAACATAATGTTCAAAAAGCAATTAGTGATGCACATAAATATTTACACGAACCGTTACCGTTCAATTTCTTTCAACTAATTTATTGATGGATTGAGTTAAGTTTTACGCAACACTCGGCAATATTACAGCTTCATGGCGGTGGTCTAAAAATAATCGAGTCTGGACCAGACAATCCAGTGATCAACATCATGAGCATCAATCTACACAAATGAGATACGATGACATGTGTCAACCAAGTCAGCGAGCCTGACCACCCGATCCCGTTAGTCGCCTCTTACTACAAGCATGGGTTACTGAAGATCAATTCTAACCCGGATCTTAATTTTTGATGAGATGACTGCTCACATGGGTAAACAGATCTCACAGGTTTACTGCTTGATAGCATGAGACTTTCATAACACGGAATACACACTAGGGGTACATCCTTGTTGGTTGTAAGCAGAGATTGGACTATAAACTGGACTGGCCAATACACACTGGAGGTTAATCCTTGTTGGTTGTAAGCAGAGATTTGACCATAAACTGGACTGGCCAATACACACTGGAGGTTCATCCTTGTTGGTTGTAAGCAGAGATTTGACTATAAACTGGACTGGCCAATACACACTGGAGGTTCATCCTTGTTGGTTGTAAGCAGAGATTGGACTATAAACTGGACTGGCCAATACACACTGGAGGTTCATCCTTGTTGGTTGTAAGCAGAGATTGGACTATAAACTGGACTGGCCAATACACACTGGAGGTTCATCCTTGTTGGTTGTAAGCAGAGATTGGACTATAAACTGGACTGGCCAATACACGCTGGAGGTTCATCCTTGTTGGTTGTAAGCACTCTCCTACCCAGAGTTCATGCGGCAAGCCAGCATAGTACCTCTGCCATAGGCCAGAAAAATGTGACGATTCGTCAAATATTGCACCCTCCATTCAATATAATGTACAGATTTCTTTTACTCTTTTATTTTTGACGAGTCTACACATCTAACTAAACATCTTTGATAGAATGGTTTAGTTTCAATGAGAAAATTTCCAAAAACATGTAACACTATTTCGATTTGCGTAGCGATCCTTTGTTTACATAGGTTGTACGGCTCCACGTGCTGTCATCGAAGCCGACGGAGAGCGAACGATGCAGCCAGTTTGATATCTAAATATGTACTGTCATAGACCTTACTGTCGCAGTTGCGGAAGAATATATATGTAACAATGTAAAACATTATGAAGAGAGCGCCGGAAAGCTTTCGTGAGTCCAGTCTCTTCTTATTATGAATATGCGCGTTTGATTACAAACAAGAGAAAAGTCCGGTCACGTGATATGCAAATTAGCCTCTGGCAGTGATGTTATGTTAAGTCATCGCTGTGCCGGAGTGTGGGTTGTAAGCAGAGATTTGACTATAAACTGTACTGGCCAATACACACACTATCGTCACAGATGAGCTCATGTCTTGCTTTACAACCCAAATTGTCGGTTTAAATTCATGAATATTGATTCCTACCTTGCCATGCCCTGAAATAGTCATAAAAAGTAAAAAGCTATCAATTATGTAATTTTCTGAATAAAATTGATATTTTATACTTATCCTGACTCATGCTCTTTTGCTTGTCTTCTTCTTCTTACGAACATAGTGGAACACTTGTATCTCCCTAATTGAAGCTCTCTTCAATGTAAAATCACTAATTAGTACTCACCACGAGTTGCCTCCCTCTTCCTCAGCGCGGGAAAGGAGGCGCCACCCTCTGGCTTCATGCTCCACTCTCTCCTGATTTAGCGAGCCCAACACTTGAATTTACAGGGAAATCCAAAGTGTTATGTGGGGAGGATGGGAGGGCTTACCTCATGAGTCAGGATAAGTATAAAATATCAATTTTATTCAGAAAATTACATATTTTTCCTTATCCTGACTCATGCTCTTTTGCTTGTAGAATCCTACGGAAATGGAGGTGGGAAAATCAGAATACTTTGGATTTAAATAATTAGTGATTTATATATATATGTAATAACCCCCTACGGGAACTTCATAATGGCACTGAATTAGGATAATTCCTGCTACAATAAACCATAAATTTACCAGCTGCCATAGATGGGGTACTACAATAATAATAAACTATCAATATGTCAATTTGTTATGCAAATATTATTCAAACAAACAAAAACTTTCAACGGCTAAAAACCGTGTACCCTATGTCCACGTATGACACGATATTGAACAGATAAATGTAGATAATGCAGTTAGTTCCATCACAAAGTCCCTGTCTGAGTCTAACCAATAATGTGTAGCCCGTTCTCCCTGTCTGAGTCTAACCAATAATGTGTAGCCCGTTCTCCCTGTCTTAGTCTAACCAATAATGTGTGGGGGTCAGCAATTTTGTACATACAATCATGTTTAAAGTCGTGCTTAGGAAATATGGGAAGGGGAGGGGGGATCACTGATTTTGTACATGTCATGCAAAGGGAGGGGGAGAGAGGTGGCACTCATTTTGTACATAAACTTTAAATAGGGAGGGTCATTCACATTGTACATACCTCCCCATCAACAAAATCACCCCCTAGCCATACATTTTGAACGGTCCCTAAGAGTCTTGGGTGTCAGCTTCTCTCTCCAGCCATGGCCCATCAAACATACACTCAAAGGCACATGCCTAATAAGTTTTGACATTAACACTTGAAGATGTCACGTGGTTGAAACATTTCCAGTTTTCTCCTACATGATCATGCTTTGTTAGAGTGAGTGAGTTTAGTTTTATGCCGCTTTTAGCAATATTCCAGCACTATCACAGCGGGGGACACCGGAAATGGGCTTCACACATCGTACCCATGAGGGACTCGAGCTGGGGTTTTCCCCGTGACGAGCGAACATTTTATCCATTAGGCTACTCCACCTACCCTGCTTTGTTAGAGAAAGGAAGTCTTGACGCCCGTTTATATTTTATCTTAATTGATACTGACAATCGCTAGAGTAACCAAAATAGTTTGGAGTTTCAGGAATCCGGGAAGAGTGAAACAGAGGGCAACAGTGGCGAAAGCGAATCTCAATTGTCCCGGGCCTACTACATGGGGCGTATGGTTACGCTCAGGCACACAGTACCCGTTGGCTTGGCAATGTTGACCCTCAGCGTCGCGGTTGGGCTGCAAAGTAGGGTGTGGGTGGGGGTGGGGGTGAGGGTAGGGGGCTTGTGTATGAAACGGAAAGAGAAGAGGTGAATTCCGTAGATGATTTGCTTGTGTGGGATTAAAGCATGTGGTTTACGTTTTGCAATTATTCTTATAACCCAATGGGGTAGTGTTTGTTTCACATCCGCTTGTAATCATTCATTTACAACATTTATATATTGCACACTGACGTGCATGCATGTAAACAAGCAATTCATGTATGAATAAGGGACAATCTAACATAGCCCAGAATACTGTCCTTAAATATAATGTTCCTTCACATAACATGGGATACTACTGATAAACCATAATATGCAACATACATCAAACGTGAACAGAGAGAAACATATCAATGAGAGCTTTCCAACACGGCTTGGCAACGGATATGTGTATTAAAAGGCACAAGTCTAGCATAGCCCAGAATACTGACCTTAAATAAAACAATGTTCCTTCACATAACATAGGGTACTCCTAATAAATTATAATATGCAACATACATCAAACGTGAACAGAAAGAAATGTGTGATTGAACGAGCGCTTCATGAACTTACTGACGTTTTGTTAGTTGAGACGTCATTTCTCTGACAAACCCCGCCAGTCCAGATACAGAACAAACACACGTTGTGGCGTCCCCTGGACAATCTCGCCGAGGCATTTACTCACCAACATTTACATTCTCAAAATGTCACTTACATCGAACAGGTCAGCTCACTTCGTTCAGAGCCATGTAACGAACTTTAAACAATCAATGCTACAGTAAGATACATGTAACCTATCCTTTCATGCTTGCGGTTCAGGGCCATGCTTGTCACCATGGCAACATTACGTCTTGTAGGAAGAGTGCCACACCTGGCAACAGATGATGACCATGATCATACTGCATGATGCACATACTGATAGTAAAACAACAAACAGATTAGGCGAGACTTAACTACCCAGCTTTACAAGCACTCTTGTATCCCATCTAGTGGCGTCACTTGCTCTACGTTACCTCTACACAAACAGATTAGGCGAGACTTAATTACCCAGCTTTACAAGCACTCGTGTATCCCATCTAGAGACGTGACTTGCTCTACGTTACCTCTACACAAACAGATTAGGCGAGACTTAACTACCCAGCTTTACAAGCACTCTTATACCCCATCTAGTGGCGTCACTTGCTCTACGTTACCTCTACACAAACAGATTAGGCGAGACTTAATTACCCAGCTTTACAAGCACTCTTGTATCCCATCTAGAGGCGTCACTTGCTCTACGTTACCTCTACACAAACAGATTAGGCGAGACTTAATTACCCAGCTTTACAAGCACTCTTATATCCCATCTAGTGGCGTCACTTGCTCTACGTTACCTCTACACAAACAGATTAGGCGAGACTTAATTACCCAGCTTTACAAGCACTCTTATACCCCATCTAGTGGCGTCACTTGCTCTACGTTACCTCTACACAAACAGATTAGGCGAGACTTAATTACCCAGCTTTACAAGCACTCTTATATCCCATCTAGTGGCGTCACTTGCTCTACGTTACCTCTACACAAACAGATTAGGCGAGACTTAATTACCCAGCTTTACAAGCACTCTTATATCCCATCTAGTGGCGTCACTTGCTCTACGTTACCTCTACACAAACAGATTAGGCGAGACTTAATTACCCAGCTTTACAAGCACTCTTATATCCCATCTAGTGGCGTCACTTGCTCTACGTTACCTCTACACAAACAGATTAGGCGAGACTTAATTACCCAGCTTTACAAGCACTCTTATACCCCATCTAGTGGCGTCACTTGCTCTACGTTACCTCTACACAAACAGATTAGGCGAGACTTAATTACCCAGCTTTACAAGCACTCTTATACCCCATCTAGTGGCGTCACTTGCTCTACGTTACCTCTACACAAACAGATTAGGCGAGACTTAATTACCCAGCTTTACAAGCACTCTTATATCCCATCTAGTGGCGTCACTTGCACTTGCTCTACGTTACCTCTACACAAACAGATTAGGCGAGACTTAATTAAGCAGGTTTACAAGCACTCTTATATCCCATCTAGTGGCGTCACTTGCTCTACGTTACCTCTACACAAACAGATTAGGCGAGACTTAATTACCCAGCTTTACAAGCACTCTTATATCCCATCTAGTGGCGTCACTTGCTCTACGTTACCTCTACACAAACAGATTAGGCGAGACTTAATTACCCAGCTTTACAAGCACTCTTATATCCCATCTAGTGGCGTCACTTGCTCTACGTTACCTCTACACAAACAGATTAGGCGAGACTTAATTACCCAGCTTTACAAGCACTCTTGTATCCCATCTAGAGGCGTCACTTGCTCTACGTTACCTCTACACAAACAGATTAGGCGAGACTTAATTACCCAGCTTTACAAGCACTCTTATACCCCATCTAGTGGCGTCACTTGCTCTACGTTACCTCTACACAAACAGATTAGGCGAGACTTAATTACCCAGCTTTACAAGCACTCTTATATCCCATCTAGTGGCGTCACTTGCTCTACGTTACCTCTACACAAACAGATTAGGCGAGACTTAATTACCCAGCTTTACAAGCACTCTTATACCCCATCTAGAGGCGTCACTTGCTCTACGTTACCTCTACACAAACAGATTAGGCGAGACTTAATTACCCAGCTTTACAAGCACTCTTATATCCCATCTAGTGGCGTCACTTGCTCTACGTTACCTCTACACAAACAGATTAGGCGAGACTTAATTACCCAGCTTTACAAGCACTCTTATACCCCATCTAGTGGCGTCACTTGCTCTACGTTACCTCTACACAAACAGATTAGGCGAGACTTAATTACCCAGCTTTACAAGCACTCTTATATCCCATCTAGTGGCGTCACTTGCTCTACGTTACCTCTACACAAACAGATTAGGCGAGACTTAATTACCCAGCTTTACAAGCACTCTTATACCCCATCTAGTGGCGTCACTTGCTCTACGTTACCTCTACACAAACAGATTAGGCGAGACTTAATTACCCAGCTTTACAAGCACTCTTATACCCCATCTAGTGGCGTCACTTTTGCTCTACGTTACCTCTACACAAACAGATTAGGCGAGACTTAATTACCCAGCTTTACAAGCACTCTTATATCCCATCTAGTGGCGTCACTTGCTCTACGTTACCTCTACACAAACAGATTAGGCGAGACTTAATTACCCAGCTTTACAAGCACTCTTATACCCCATCTAGTGGCGTCACTTGCTCTACGTTACCTCTACACAAACAGATTAGGCGAGACTTAATTACCCAGCTTTACAAGCACTCTTATATCCCATCTAGTGGCGTCACTTGCTCTACGTTACCTCTACACAAACAGATTAGGCGAGACTTAATTACCCAGCTTTACAAGCACTCTTATATCCCATCTAGTGGCGTCACTTGCTCTACGTTACCTCTACACAAACAGATTAGGCGAGACTTAATTACCCAGCTTTACAAGCACTCTTATACCCCATCTAGTGGCGTCACTTGCTCTACGTTACCTCTACACAAACAGATTAGGCGAGACTTAATTACCCAGCTTTACAAGCACTCTTATATCCCATCTAGTGGCGTCACTTGCTCTACGTTACCTCTACACACAACAGATTAGGCGAGACTTAATTACCCAGCTTTACAAGCACTCTTATACCCCATCTAGTGGCGTACCCCTTGCTCTACGTTACCTCTACACAAACAGATTAGGCGAGACTTAATTACCCAGCTTTACAAGCACTCTTGTATGCCCCATCTAGTGGCGTCACTTGCTCTACGTTACCTCTACACAAACAGATTAGGCGAGACTTAATTACCCAGCTTTACAAGCACTCTTGTATCCCATCTAGTGGCGTCACTTGCTCTACGTTACCTCTACACAAACAGATTAGGCGAGACTTAATTACCCAGCTTTACAAGCACTCTTTGTATCCCATCTAGTGGCGTCACTTGCTCTACGTTACCTCTACACAAACAGATTAGGCGAGACTTAATTACCCAGCTTTACAAGCACTCTTATACCCCATCTAGTGGCGTCACTTGCTCTACGTTACCTCTACACAAACAGATTAGGCGAGACTTAATTACCCAGCTTTACAAGCACTCTTATACCCCATCTAGTGGCGTCACTTGCTCTACGTTACCTCTACACAAACAGATTAGGCGAGACTTAACTACCCAGCTTTACAAGCACTCTTATATCCCATCTAGTGGCGTCACTTGCTCTACGTTACCTCTACACAAACAGATTAGGCGAGACTTAATTACCCAGCTTTACAAGCACTCTTTATATCCCATCTAGTGGCGTCACTTGCTCTACGTTACCTCTACACAAACAGATTAGGCGAGACTTAATTAGATTAGGCGAGACTTAATTACTCAGCTTTTACAAGCACTCTTATATCCCATCTAGTGGCGTCACTTGCTCTACGTTACCTCTACACAAACAGATTAGGCGAGACTTAATTACCCAGCTTTACAAGCACTTATCCCATCTAGTGGCGTCACTTGCTCTACGTTACCTCTACACAAACAGATTAGGCGAGACTTAATTACCCAGCTTTACAAGCACTCTTATATCCCATCTAGTGGCGTCACTTGCTCTACGTTACCTCTACACAAACAGATTAGGCGAGACTTAATTACCCAGCTTTACAAGCACTCTTATATCCCATCTAGTGGCGTCACTTGCTCTACGTTACCTCTACACAAACAGATTAGGCGAGACTTAATTACCCAGCTTTACAAGCACTCTTGTATCCCATCTAGTGGCGTCACTTGCTCTACGTTACCTCTACACAAACAGATTAGGCGAGACTTAATTACCCAGCTTTACAAGCACTCTTATACCCCATCTAGTGGCGTCACTTGCTCTACGTTACCTCTACACAAACAGATTAGGCGAGACTTAATTACCCAGCTTTACAAGCACTCTTTATATCCCATCTAGTGGCGTCACTTGCTCTACGTTACCTCTACACAAACAGATTAGGCGAGACTTAATTACCCAGCTTTACAAGCACTCTTATATCCCATCTAGTGGCGTCACTTGCTCTACGTTACCTCTACACAAACAGATTAGGCGAGACTTAATTACCCAGCTTTACAAGCACTCTTGTATCCCATCTAGTGGCGTCACTTGCTCTACGTTACCTCTACACAAACAGATTAGGCGAGACTTAATTACCCAGCTTTACAAGCACTCTTATATCCCATCTAGTGGCGTCACTTGCTCTACGTTACCTCTACACAAACAGATTAGGCGAGACTTAATTACCCAGCTTTACAAGCACTCTTATACCCCATCTAGTGGCGTCACTTGCTCTACGTTACCTCTACACAAACAGATTAGGCGAGACTTAATTACCCAGCTTTACAAGCACTCTTGTATCCCATCTAGTGGCGTCACTTGCTCTACGTTACCTCTACACAAACAGATTAGGCGAGACTTAATTACCCAGCTTTACAAGCACTCTTATACCCCATCTAGTGGCGTCACTTGCTCTACGTTACCTCTACACAAACAGATTAGGCGAGACTTAATTACCCAGCTTTACAAGCACTCTTATATCCCATCTAGTGGCGTCACTTGCTCTACGTTACCTCTACACAAACAGATTAGGCGAGACTTAATTACCCAGCTTTACAAGCACTCTTGTACCCCATCTAGTGGCGTCACTTGCTCTACGTTACCTCTACACAAACAGATTAGGCGAGACTTAACTACCCAGCTTTACAAGCACTCTTGTACCCCATCTAGTGACGTCACTTGCTCTACGTTACCTCTACACAAACACCAAGTTATAGCAATTTATTTTCAGGAGTGTTCGTTATATACCTATTGTTTGTTCACAACGTCAAAAGCTTCCTGAATTCCTAAATTTGTCTGAACAGTTCTCTTTGATATTAAATGGCATAGTCCCTTGAAGGAAAGCTACTGAATAACCAACTTTGGAAAGTCAAAGCGTTACATAGATAACATTTTACGTTGGTTAACAACGGCATCACGTGACGTTACAGGAGACACGAGTAATACCGACAGTCATAACGTGACACACGGCATGTCACAACAAACGTGACACACGTAGTGGTGATCAGCACTTGTCAAATCCGACCTGAAGTTTACGCCAAGCTGTGAGTTTGTCCACACCTACAAATCTCACCCTGGCGAAGGGGGCTCGCATGTTGTTGGACATCAGAAAGTAGCCGTCGAGGTATGTCTGTGAACAGGATGAAAACCAGACAGTTCAGGAGTAAGCAGTATGTCTGTGTAGGCAGATTTCGTCACACCAGGTGGTTTGTGGATCGTGTTAGATGAACACATATCTGCTACAACCACAATGTATCAATGCATACATTTAGAAAGTACAGATCCGCCTAGTGGTTAAAGCGTCCACTCATCATGCCAAAGACCGGGTTCGATCCCCCCACATTGGTACAATGTATGAATCCCATATCATGTGTCCCCGCCGTGATATTGATGGAATATTGCTAAAAGCGGCGTAAAACTATACTCATTCACAAACTCAATCAATCAATCTGACAGACATGCATACATCAACGCTTAAGTACCATTAGTCCAAACTCCCAACCCTGTTCCAATGACAACATTAGGACGTTACAATCATTCACTGCTTGTGGTTAGTGGCTCGCTGACACATGTCATTGTATGCCATGTGAGTACATCGATGCTCATGACTTTGATCACTGAGTTCCCTGGTCCAGACTCGACTAGTTACATGTCGCCGCCATACAGTTCGAATGTTCCTGATTGCTGGGTTAAACAAACAAACAAACAAACAAACAAACAAACACACAAACAACACAAAACTTCTACTGAGCGTTCTCGCTCCAAGGGGTGTCTGCAGGTTCCAGGTCACGTGATGTATTCTACTTATGTACCGACGTCAGTTCCTCATAGCCAGAACAGCTGGCAGAGGCAGGTTGTCCCTCAAAAGTGAGTCCATCATACATCCTTGCTTCATCAACGACATCGTACTGAGGAGCATCTCCTGCCTCTGGTGACACGTCCATGTCCTGGGTGGGAGTGACGTACAACTGGAACCTGCAATTGTTTGATATGCGTTTTGTAGAAACTCACGGATGACATATCGACTCAATGCATGGATGACAACTTCTTCATTACAGTGCAAAAATAAGTTGTTATCCCTACGTTATGCATTCTTTGAATCCTGCCTGCAATGATTGTATAGACAACATACTTGATCGGGAATGAATGCTTATTTGTTTTCACTGAAGATTAAATAACGTAAAAACATATACTGGTGGATAGAGTTCTACGTTGTGTTAACGGGAAGTTGTGTTAAGTTGTGTCCAAACGAGAATATAACTTTCATGATGATTATGTGAATGATCTGATGAGTGTGTGAAGAGTGTGGAACCTCAGCGTGACGATGTTCGGTGAGTCGGCGTCCATAGAAACAACATTTGGCATTTATGTCGACGTTTCAGAAAAAGAATCAACGTACAGACCTCCACAACTAACTATCCTAAAGAAAACTGATGGATTCGAACCAAGCATCTCTGAAACAGGTTCCCGACAGCATTCCTTACAACCCGTACCAATCCTGGCAGTAGAAGTGTATCTGAGAGAACAGGGAAGAGTTTTACGACTTCTACGCATCTACGGCATGTGTGGAAGACGCCATAACCTTCTAGAGGCGGGATGGAACTTCACGTCTACAGCATGTGTGAAAGTCGCCCAAGTGTTCTGGAGATGGGATGGGATTTCACGTCTATGGTATCTGTACAGGACGTCCAAATGTTCTGGAGATAGGAGAGGATTTCACGCCTATGGCATCTGTGAAAGACGTCAAAATGTTGTTGAAATGGGATGGGATTTCACGTCCATGGTATCTGTGAAAGACGCCCAAATGTTCTGGAGATGGGATGGGATTTCACGTCTATGGTATCTGTGAAAGACGCCCTAATGTTCTGGAGATGGGATGGGATTTCACGTCTATGGTATCTGTGAAAGACGCCCTAATGTTCTGGAGGTGAGGTGGGATTTCACGTCTATGGTATCTGTGAAAGACGCCCTAATGTTCTGGAGATGGGATGGGATTTCACGTCTATGGTATCTGTGAAAGACGCCCTAATGTTCTGGAGGTGAGGTGGGATTTCACGTCTATGGTATCTGTGAAAGACGCCCGAATGTTCTGGAGGTGAGGTGGGGATTTCACGTCTATGGTATCTGTGAAAGACGCCCAAATGTTCTGAAGGCTGAATTGGGATCTAGGCTGCAGCGAGGGCGTCAATGGTTGTGATTCAGGGGAACTTGAATCCTGCGAGGTACCGAGACGAAATTTTGTATATGGGAGTTTTATTGTTCTTTAAAACAGAAGGTCCTGAAGTGACGTTTCACAAGATAAACTCAGAGACTCCACCTCACGTTTGAAACTCCTGGTACGAGCTCCTGGTACGAAACTCTTGGTACGAGCTCGTATAAAACATTTAACGGGCTGTAGTTGTGACACGTGGTCGACTGAATCTGGGTAGGTCATGAGTTGACCCTTGCATCTGATAAGGATTCCATAGCGTTGTGATGGTGTTTGGCGATACGTGGAAACATCTGGCCACGACCGTGTTGCCTGTCTCCAGTCCGTCGATGGCGTCGTTGTCTTCAGCTGCTGTCAGTGGATTTTTCACTTCTCGTTTACGATACGATACGATTGTGAGTATCGACAAACGAAAACCCTTTGTTTCTATAGCCCAACAATTCATGCTGATAATTCAATTGATGTTCGGGTGTTTATCGACCCGTGAAACTCCGGTTAGAATTGATCTTCAGTAACACATGCCTGTCATAAGAGACGACTAACGGTATCGGGAGGTCAGGCTCGCTGACTTGGTTTACACAAGTCAAGTCAGTTGCGTAGATGTCCATGCTGTTGATCACATGACTGTGGCGAAAACTAAACTCACTCACACACTCACGAACTCATTCGTGTGTTTAACCGCCACGACCGCACGTGTTGCTTCTATTTAGCGCGGCAGTGTTTTAGGGGTAATGTTATTGATTTGAATAAATGACATTTTCAACTGTTTTAAAGGTGTTAATTTGTTTGTGAGAAAATATCGTTTCAATTTTTTAATTTAGGTTATTCTTGATAGGTTTATTTTAGGGTAACTATGGGAAATTACAGTCACGTTTTCTACTATGAATATTCAGAGCCCAGTTTGCGCTGGGCGCACAACTAATTTTGCTGATTTTGCTGAAAACGTGCATTTCCGGTTTGGACAGCCAGCCCATGCGATCAGAATTGATTGTCCTCCCGAGTTCTACAGAATTGTCAATGCTAGGTGTTTGGGTGGTTCACTCTTCAGGTAACTTTGTTTCATAGTACAAATTACATATAATCTTTACATGGTATGTCTCAATTCACAGATCACTGGATTGTCTGGTCCAGACTCGATTATTTACAGCCCGCCTCATATAGCTGGAATATTGATGAGTGCAGCGTAAAACTAAACTCACTCACTCACTCACTCTAATTCATATGTTAATCTTTGTAAAGAGTAATTATTCAATATTTTCAAAGTGCCCCTGCCAAGTTCATGCTTGGGCGAATCTATTATTATTCAGGGTAGCGATACTCTTTTACGTAATGTAATAGCGTATTTTAGGATTTCTTTTCATAAAGCAAGTTAAAGTTTAGTTACATTTAGGCATATTTCTCTGTTCTACAGTATGTGTCAGGTCTATATTTGTATTTTGCACAGAGAATTTTACATTGTTTTCAATATGAGATAATTTTTTTCCCTTTGGGCAAAGTGGACAACTCCATGAGTTTCAAGCCACGCTAGTTTTTTCATTTGAATGCACTTTTCAGAGATTATTTTGTGTAATTACTTATACCTTGCAGAGTTAAGGGTTTTTAGAAGCTGTCAGGTCTTTGTCAGTGGGATATTACTAGCGCTTTACTCACTTTGTGAACTGAATCGGTAAGCATTAGGACCCACAAGAGTTACTTCCCTTGAGGAGATAAACATTGTTTCAAGGCAAGAATAGTTTGCGACTGTATATTGAGCTATATTAAAACAGATTTATGTCAATCTGTTTCCTGTTTGTGTATTATTATTTCTGTATTTCACAGAACTCCAACATTAAAGGTGTTAGAAGAACTCCCAACCAGCCTAGTGTTCTTACCCAATTCAAACCAGTTATGTTCTACCCACACACATCCCTCCTGGTGTATACAATAGTGTGGAATGTATATTTATTATGCATATTCATTCAAAATGTCAGTAAACTCCGTCAAGTAATTCCAGTGTGCCTACGTGTGGTTTGCTTTATCAAGCTTATGATCCAATTAAGTTGTGTGTTACATTAATGACAAGAGGTAAGGAAATGGTAACACCACTTCAACAGGAAGCAAAACCGGAATGTAATGATTCATTGAATCTTCCGTGTACTGCCGCAGTCAGACCAGCGACACCAGGTTAGTCTGTCAGTATTCTTATGGTGGGCTGTGTAAACCAGCGGCTAATACCACGGACTACATTCGACCTCGACAATACAAACAGAGACACATTCGTCCACTGAACACTGAACACCTTGATCCCAGTTTACATAGTGAGCTCTTTTAACATCCACGTGGGAGTGTTAATCACAGAATATCGTGGTGAACTCTTTAAACAACCACGTGATACTGTGAATCACAGAATATCGTGGTTCATACATTCCCTCACTCACCTTTCTGATCTCAAACGCTGACAGTAACTGCAGCACGCGGCCAAAGTGACAATGAAAAGGAGAGCGGCTACAGCTAGTCCTGTAGATAGTGCTGCAGCCATGTTGATACCTACCAAACAACGGGGTTATAGAGTTAATACAATATAGGAGAGAGGCAACAGATAGTCCTGTAGATAGTGCTGTAGCCAGTTCCACGTTGATACCTACCAAAACAACGGAAGTAACGAGTTAATACAATAAAGGAGAGGGGCAACAGCTAGTCCTGTAGATAGTGATGTAGCTAGTTCCACGTTGATACCTACCAAAGCAACGGGGTTAACGAGTTAATACAATAAAGGAGGGGGGGCAACAGCTAGTCCTGTAGATAGTGCTGTGGCCACGTTGATACCTACCTATCATACTGAAATCAAACCCCAACAGATCCACACAGTCGCCGTGACTGGAGTCAACACACCCAGACACGCAGAACGTCATAAATTTTGGAAGAATCACACCATTTTCGCACCGTCAATAAACCAATGTGTCAGGAATTATACAGTGGACGCTTCAAGAACAGTGGGTCAGAAACTACCTCTTTCCCTGTCAGCCTGATGGTTGTCGTATTCACAACATTTTAACCCCAGACATTGGATAATACCTACCTGATACAGCATCACGTGTCAATTTGTTGCATGACGTACATCCACTTGAACGATTCCTGCAGTCAGTCCCGTAGTAGGAGTCTACACATCCAGACACACAGGATGAGCCCAGCTGACAATATCCTCCATCACAACCACCTGGACATGCTGTACAGTTACCTCCTGGACTGTCACATGGTATGTTGCAGCCAATGCCTTGATATCCTGGCTCACAACCCTCGGTGCACCGTCCACTACCGTCAGCAGCTTGAGTACACAGGCTACCGTTACAATGACCATCGCACACAGAGAAACATTTCAGATCAAAATACCCTATGTCACACTTAGTGAGGCAATGTCCCGTTGTGACGTCACAGTCTGAACAGTGCTGGTCGTTCAAACAGGGGCCAGCTGAAATGAAGGCTATAGGTATTGACAAGATGATAACTGAATAGGATTTAATATGTGTAAATAGCGTTGGTAGTTCTAAGGCTGATCCTTTCTAAAAGTTAATATAGTGATCGCTATGGCTTTGAACAACACAACTGACAAACTCTAAGTTATTGAAACAAGGCCTGTGATATCTTACAACTATGTAACGAGACCAGATGAGCAATATTAACGATAGACGTTCTACCTTCAGTATAAAGTACCACGTATGTTATCCATAGGTATAGCTTCTTCAGGTCGGCCATTCCGTTGACCTAAACTGACCTGAAAGAACAATTTGTGAGGAGGAACATGACCCATCAACGCAAACAAGGAAACAACAACCATTGAATGCAAAACATGAACGTTCAAGAGATATGCTGAAAACATTAACCTCCAAGAGATATGCTGAAAACATTAACGTCCAACGTCCATCGTCCAACATCCAACATCCAACATCCAAGAGATATGCAAAAGCATAAACGGCCAAGAGATATGCTGAAAACATTAACGTCCAAGAGATATGCAGAAAACATTAACGTCCAAGAGATATGCTGAAAACAAAAACGTCCAAGAGATATGCAAAAGCATAAACGGCCAAGAGATATGCTGAAAACATTAACGTCCAAGAGATATGCAGAAAACATTAACGTCCAAGAGATATGCTGAAAACATTAACGTCCAAGAGATATGCTGAAAACATTAACGTCCAAGAGATATGCTGAAAACATTAACGTCCAAGAGATATGCTGAAAACATTAACGTCCAATGTCCAACGTCCACCGTCCAAGAGATATGCAAAAGCATAAACGTCCAAGAGATATGCAGAAAACACCAGAAATGCCCTTCACACAATGTATCTATTTGAGGAATCGAACCCTGACCTTAGGCACGAGGAGCGAACGCTTTAACCGCTGGGCTACCCTACTGACCCTAAATGGGATGAAACAAGCTCTCGTATGTATATTATGTAGCGTCCGTTTTAAATTCTGGCATGATATAACTGTAGACTAAGGAATGCATTCGGCACAATGTAGCACACACACTCACGCACGCACGCACACACATACTTGTGTGTACATACTCGCTACATATGAGCAACAATGTTGAACACAACGGTAAACCTCAATCACCCTACTACAACGCCACACCATACTCACCTAGTTGTTGGACTTATGTGACCGACCTGTATATAAAACTGACCATCTGCAGGTGACCCTGGAGAAATCTGTGTCTCTGTTGTGTCGGAGGCAACCTTTGTTATACAACAATAGCGTCTGGAGTTGTAAGTATTATTTCCCTCTCTCAGGGATGATGAACATGTAATCAATGTCAAGGAAATATTTCCCAAATTAAATGTTTCAAATATTGAGAGAGAGTGTGTGTGCATATGGGTATGGAAAGCGTTACTCGCAAGATTTATTCTTGGAGACTTTAGAAAGCACTTTTGTATGAAACGGAACAAAGTAAACATTGGCTTTGAAGAAATGTCCGAACGGAAAACTATGCCTGTTTCCTGTAAAATATTGTACATGATATGTTTGTGGGAATAACGCCATCACGTTGGCACATTGGTCAGACCAACATTTGTCACAGCTGATTCCCAGTTAAACACAACTCCAGAGCGACGTGAGTTAATTAGGGCAGCATTTGAGTGGATGCACTCGAGGAATCGTGATGAAGACATCTGATGATATGAAACCTTGGGCTGCTGGTCACAATGAACGAGTGTACATACTTCCGGTGTGTTGGGAGCGGTTAGATATAAGAAGCACAAAATACATGGATTGACATTTAACTTCCCCTCTACAGCATGCCACTTAAAGCGGGTTTAAACATAATTTACAAAAACATAAAACAGTTTCAAGATGACAAATACGTTTAATACTTGAACCAGACAAGGATGAAGCAGGTTATGTTAACACAGTGACACGGAAACTGGCAGAGGTGAAACAAGGAAATATGAAACTCCTTCCAGTTTCCCAGCAGCGATAAAAACAAAGCGTCATAGACTTAAGCTGGCAACAGACTTGCAAGTAACCAATTTGCGTAAGCCATATCACAGCTTAAAGCACCCGTTGCTTACAACTCCCGTGAAGATCCGGGTTATAATTCAGTAACCCATGCTTGCCAACCTCGCCGACTTGATTGACACATGTTTTTGTATAGCAATCGATCGATGGTGATGATGTTGAACACTGGATTGTCTGGTACAGACTCGATTATTTACATATCACCGCCAAACAGTTTACATGTTGCTGAGTGCTTCGTTAAAAATAAACTTAATAATATTAATGTGCTGCTCCTGTCAGATACGGTTGCATTGTATTAATATTATGGGCAATAATTACCGCATATTGCCAGAAGTCTTTTGAAACTAAACTATGTTTCATGTCTCGCTCAAGATAGCTGCAAAGTAAGTAATTATTTAATCTCTTTGAGCAAGGCAAGTCCAGTGGATTAAACCGGCAGGCAAACACAACATCAATGTGAATACATAGGCAGCAGATCAAACTATGAGTCTGCAAACAGTGTTATGCGTGACATTTTCGAAATACTCAACATCTAAGCATGTGATAATTTGGAGTATATATTGTCAATAACAGCAGGTAATTGCCGTTCGACTCCATCTGCAACGTCATAAACATCATCCGCTACACCAGCAGCTTCACCTCCATCCCGGTAGTTGCGACCACATGATTGATAAGGCATGACTGTGTCCGTTCTTGGAATGTCAGTATACCATTCCAGCTCAACAACAGAGGCGTCGTCCATCTCGGCAACGTTGTTCCTCACATCTTCTTCCGTGTGGGTGACGCTGTGAAATGAGAACGATGTAATATGCCGACCAGCATTTAATGAAATATGCCAACCATTTTCTCTATTTGTCCTTCATTTCTATATTTTCAAAGTTTATATTTTAATTATTTGTTCTGAATATTTCTGCATTTGTAGTAAGGGTGATTAGCTATACAACGTCATAACACATTCGGTGTGTCTAAACAAACCCTGACCAATTGAAAAATACATTGAAACTATCTGGAGCAACACAAGCATGTTTGCCACAATACAGTATATGTCATGTTAAGAACAACCACAACTTAAGACGCCTGGCTATCGATCTACCTTGGTCTTCCTGTCTTAGATCATAACAGTACTCGATACATGGTATTTACTTTGAATGCACAGCTGAGCTAAACACTCTTGTTTGGAGGGATTATGGTAATCCTTAAATTCAGTTTCGAGTGAGTGAGTGAGATTTAACGCGCATCGAACAGCATTCTGTTTATTTCATGGTACGTCAGCGTCATGGTGGAGGAGATTCCGGAGTGATGAAGGTCCCACTCTTCCGGGAAATTCTATCATCATCTATGTTTCAGCTCTGCCACATAGACCTAGATATCCATAAATGTTGGTGTTGTAATCAAGTTTCTGAAACTACGAACAAGATTTCTAGCCGTCGGCGTTTACACTTATGAACAACCACACTGAACCCCGTCTTAAGTCTGGTAAAGCATGGTGTGGTCCACACTGGCCCCAGATAAGCTTGTTTTATGTCAAACATGGCGTGGTCCACATTGACCCCCGTGTAAACATGTCTTATGTCCAGCATGGCATGGTCCACACTGACCCCCGTGTAAACATGTCTTATGTCCAGCATGGCATGGTCCACACTGACCCCCGTGTAAACATGTCTTATGTCCAGCATGGCGTGGTCCACACTGACCCCCATGTAAACATGTCTTATGTCCAACATGGCATGGTCCACACTGACCCCCGTGTAAACATGCCTTATGACCAGCATGGCGTGGTCCACACTGACCCCCGTGTAAACATGTCTTATGTCCAGCATGGCGTGGTCCACACTGACCCCGTGTAAACATGTCTTATGTCCAGCATGGCGTGGTCCACACTGACCCCCGTGTAAACATGTCTTATGTCCAACATGGCGTGGTCCACACTGACCCCCGTGTAAACATGTCTTATGACCAGCATGGCGTGGTCCACACTGACCCCCGTGTAAACATGTCGTATGTCCAGCATGGCGTGGTCCACACTGACCCCCGTGTAAACATGTCTTATGTCCAGCATGGTTGAGTTGACGTCCTGCTATGAGGCAGTGTTGTTGACTGTAGCCCTATTGTTGAGTGCAGCCCTATTGTTGAGTGCAGCCCTATTGTTGACTGCAGCCCTATTGTTGAGTGCAGCTCTATTGTTGTCTGTAGCCCTATTGTTGACTGCAGCTCTATTGTTGACTGTAGCCCTATTGTTGAGTGCAGCCCTATTGTTGACTGTAGCCCTATTGTTGTCTGCAGCCCTATTGTTGACTGCAGCCCTATTGCTGACTGTAGCCATATTGTTGACTGCAGCCCTATTGCTGACTGTAGCCCTATTGTTGACTGCAGCACAATTGTTGACTGCAGCCCTATTGTTGACTGCAGCCCTATTGTTGACTGTAGCCCTATTGTTGACTGTAGCCCTATTGTTGACTGCAGCCCTATTGTTGAGTGCAGCTCTATTGTTGACTGTAGTCCTATTGTTGACTGCAGTTCTATTGTTGACTGCAGCTATATTGTTGAGTGCAGCTCTATGGTTGACTGTAGCCCTATTGTTGACTGTAGCCCTATTGTTGACTGCAGCCCTATTGTTGAGTGCAGCTCTATTGTTGACTGTAGTCCTATTGTTGACTGCAGTTCTATTGTTGACTGCAGCTATATTGTTGAGTGCAGCTCTATGGTTGACTGTAGCCCTATTGTTGACTGTAGCCCTATTGTTGACTGCAGCCCTATTGTTGACTGCAGCCCTATGGTTGACGCAGCCTTATTGTTGAGTGCAGCCCTATTGTTAACTGTAGCCCTATTGTTGACTGCAGCCCTATTGTTGAGTGCAGCTCTATTGTTGTCTGTAGCCCTATTGTTGACTGCAGCTCTATTGTTGACTGCAGCTCTATTGTTGAGTGCAGCTCTATTGTTGACTTCAGCCCTATTGTTGACTGCAGCCCTATGGTAGACGCAGCCTTATTGTTGAGTGCAGCCCTATTGTTAACTGTAGCCCTATTGTTGACTGCAGCCCTATTGTTGACTGCAGCTCTATTGTTGACTGCAGACATTTTGTTCACTTACCGGTTTCGCCTCCAGCGCTGTCTATTCTTCCAGTACACGGCCAGGAAGATCGACACGAGGACACTGACAGCTACTGTGGACAGTCCAACAGGGAGTCCCGGGCTTCGATCTGACAAGGAACAAGGTGAACTTGCCATACCTAAAGAACAGCCAGGGCCAATTCAAAACTCTAATACTAAAAACAGTATATGATTCGTAAACATGTGACAAACGTGGTTAGGGAAGTCGCCACCATTATCACGCCGATCCACAGACAAGTAGAACCCCCTGCTTCCTTGTGAGGATACTGTAATTACCTATTTATACTGAAAAACAAACTCCAACAGATCCACAGTCGCCGTGACTGGAGTCAACACACCCAGACACGCAGAACGTCATAAATTTTGGAAGAATCACATCATTTTCACACCGTCAATAAACCTATGTGTCAGGAATTATACAGTGGACGCTTCAAGAACAGTGGGTCAGAAACTACCACTTTCCCAGTCAGTCTGATGGTTGTCGTATTCACAACATTTTAACCCCAGACATTGGATAATACCTACCTGATACAGCATAACTGCAGTCTCTCCCGTAGAAGGAGTCTACACATCCAGACACACAGGATGAGCCCAGCTGACAATATCCTCCATCACAACCACCTGGACATGCTGTACAGTTACCTCCTGGACTGTCACATGGTATGTTGCAGCCAATGCCTTGATATCCTGGCTCACAACCCTCGGTGCACCGTCCACTACCGTCGCCAGATTGATTACACAGGCTACCTTTACAATGACCATCGCACACAGAGAAACATTTCAGATCAAAATACCCCGTGTCACACTTAGTGAGGCAATGTCCCGTCGTGACGTCACAGTCTGAACAGTGCTGGTCGTTCAAGCATGGACCCGCTGGAAATAGATAAATGCTTAAAATGTGTGTCTGAGAATATACTTTTTTATTTTATGTTATTTTTACATAAGCAACACGCACGATCACGAGTAAGACGGTAATAAATTTCAGTTGAAGATTTCTGTACACATATTGGCACCTTCATTAGCATGTAAAATAATATAAACATTTGAAATTGATACATAAGTCACCAACTCCACATTGCGGGATGTAGACAATCGGTTGGCACCTCTGAATGTGGGAGTATCAGT